CATTAGCACTCAGGCGGGCCCAAAAGCTCGGCCCGTAAATTATAATATACCAAACATCTTCTGAAAACTCTTCAACTTATTTGACTAGACAAATCCGCTCACTGAATCCATTATTGACAACCCGTTAATATAACCCGCAATCCGCTAACCGATAACCGCTAAATGTCAAACACGCTCTTAGTCAATTTCAATGTTATCAATGGGCGGTAAAATGGGAGTAGTAAGTAAAAAAGTGAATTTTGACTTTTTGTACATGGCATTTTCGAAGTAAGTGTAGCGATTATGATCATTTTCTATTCTTACAATCTTACATTATACTGATATAAAATTCCTAGCTATAACCTAGTATCTTAACTTAATGCTAAAGAAATTAGGTAAATCCAAAACACATGCATTCATCCCTATGTGTATGCATGCTAATTAATTACTCTATTATTTGTTTCATAATGATGTGTATACATATAGGTACTCATCCGTACAGGCAATAGATTCGAGTTCTAGGAATGATCTGGAGCAATGGCTGACATTTTGGATGCTTCGTTTTTTCATCACATCATTTGAGAGTACATTTCCTATTGAATGGTGGGTGATCAATTAATGATTAAGAATTTGCATTAAATTGGTGTAAAAATGTTCTTTTCATTTCAAGAAATTAGTGACTTGTTTTAACGACTATAAACATGTGGCACTATTAATCCACGATAATTACTCTTACTTAGAAAATAAAAATATATGAAATAGTGCTCATATCTTGGATTCTAAGACGTTTTTACCCTTATTTAAGAGAATATTTCTTAATTGAAAATAATCTATATCATCATTAACAGGCTTTTGCTTTGGGACTACCTAAAGTTAGCTGCGATGTGCTGGATGGTGCTTCCTTTCTTCAAGGGAACGAAATACATTAACAGGAATCTTATCCGACCAATCTTCCAACGTCGCACCAGTTTTTTTGATAATCCCATCCATTTCTCCGCGTCAACGATCACCGGACATGATGATTGACCATAGGTCTAACGATTGATCATTGATGACTACAGGTTTCTAGATACATAACTGGTCTATACTGAAATCTACATATAGAGGTTTTTATAATGTTGTATTCTACATTTTGTAACACTTGTTTTATAAGTTGAGTTGGATGACAATTATATAAGGTTCAAGTGTGAGTTTATATATCTAGATCACGCGGCCTCAAAATGTTCGATCTGGCGAGGAGCAATAGACCGAACTTGTCTATTTGAGGTGTTTTCGGGTGGAAGAATGGCCAACTCGTCTACGTGTTGAGCTGGACCTCCACTTAAGATCTGTTTATCATGTCCCTGAAATTAAATATAATTTTTTATTCATACAAAAATTGTGTGCCGACAATAATGGTATGGTAATTTTGAAAAAAAAAACTGTTTTGCTAAAGAACAAAACCACTGGGCAATCCTTCTCCAGGCTTCGAGTAGCGGCAGTCACTATCCTATTCGTTTGTCTTCTTCTCCGGCATTGACATTATGGCATCGCCATTTCACTACAAAAAAACACTCGTTTAGTCACGGACCGTAGTCACGGATTTGGTCCGTGACTAGCCTAGTCACGGACTAGTCACGGAAATTTAAAAAAAAAAATTAGTCACGGATTTTACCGTGACTACACGTAGTCACGGATTTTTGTCCGTGACTAACATCCTCCGATTGCCCGTTTGATTTTCCGGCCTGGCTTGTTTTACTCCGGCGACATAGTCACGGCCACATCCGTGACTACAGCCGTGACTAAATTTAAAAATTAATTTTGCATCTCCCATAAATCAATCCGCAACGGTATTATGTACGGATAAATTTAGTCACGGACATGGCCGTGACTATGTCCGTGACTACTTTGATTAACACGTCATTTACACGTCATTAACGCGGATCGGACGCGTAATGGACACGGTTTTGCTTAGTGACGGACAAATCCGTGACTAAGTCCGTGACTAATTTTTTTTATATATGCAGGAGCAGCTCATTCATTCAACAGAACCACACCAATTCATTCCCAGTATATACAGTATCTGTTTGAAAGATCGAAGGATGTAGTCTGTCTTCTATCATTTTCCCCATTTATGCAGTTAAGGTATGTTATTTGAATTATTATTTTTATTTAGAATTAGTTGGTTCAATTTAAATTATTAAAACTATTAAATTAGTGATGTTGTTAATTCATTAACAACATATTCAACTGTAAGCGTAGTAATGTCATAAAATTAGTTAAACTGTTAGGTTTATAAAATAATTTAATTAAAATTAGTTAGCTAAACGTAGTTTTAAACGTAGTGATCTTTATGTTAAGTGAAATTAGTTAGTTAAACGTACGTTAGTAATGTGTTAATTAAGTGTATTGTGAATTGTTATTTTAATTGTGTATTATTTATTAATTCAAATGACCTTATATACATGTTCAAATTATTGGGTTTAATTTGGTCATATTATTTAATTTAGTGAATTGGAATTGTTAATTGTGTAGTACTAATAACATTAAATGTCATTAACGTAATAATTTAGTGTAGGTTTAAATGTAGGTTTACAAAAATAATTTAATTAAAATTCGTTAGCTAAACGTAGGTTTAAACGTAGCTAGTGATGTGTTAATTATGTTATATTAGTTAGCTAAACGTAGGTTTAAAAGGGGACGGAATGAACTAGTTAAATTTAGTTAAATTTAACTAAATGAATTAGTTAAATTTAGTTAAACGTATGTTTAATTTAAATGTAGTGTTAATAAATTACTTAAATTTTTTGTAATATTAGTTAAATTTAAGTATTAGGTAATTACTTATATTTTGTGAATTATTGTTGTGAATTGTGTGCATTTCATTTAATTTAGTGAAAATTAGTTAGTTGATTATTTAGTGAAATAACTTACTTAAAATTTGTTAGTATTATTGTTACATTAATAACCTTCGTTTTGAACGTGTATACTTTTTTATTATAATATTTAGGCATGATGTATAAACAAAATAGAAGTTGGATGTATGATAAAGATGCGGTATTGTACGGAATGCAATCAAATTTTCTCGAGGGAGTTGGGGAATTTATTGAATTTGCACTTGAACATCCGGCTTATATGAGTGGTGATAAAATAAGATGTCCATGTTCAAAGTGTAAAAATCTCAAATTTAAAGACCCACACGAAGTTGGGTATGATTTGTACGCGGTTGGTTTTGTTCCCAATTATTATAATTGGACTTCTCACGGCGAACCTTTGGATCCATCTGTTATACCACAAACGGTAGGTTCGTCTCGTTACGTCCCTCCAGAGATGAGTGCATGGGGAGACCGTGGTGAAATGAGGTGGGACCAACAAATGGTATATGACGCATACGGTGTACCGATGTCTCAGTTCAACCCCCCACAACCACCTAACGACCCCCCTGAAGCCTCAACCTCGTATCAACCAGATGCGGATGAAAATCCAACATTTTATCAACCTTATGTGGATGAAGGTTTGGCTGAGAGATTTCAGGATGTTCTAAAAGCTTCCGACCAACCTCTGTATGCTGATTGTGAGGAATACTCTCAGCTATCCGCCGTTACTGAATTCATGAACATAAAAGCCAAATACAGTCTCCCTGAAACTTGCATGAATAGAGTCTTGCAGTCAGTAGGAGGGATGCTACCGCGAGATCATACCCTTCCGGATTCATATTACCACATGAAGCAGTTAATGTCTAAGTTGGGGCTACCTTGTGTTGAAATTGATGCGTGCCCGGAAGGATGTATGTTGTTCTAGAAGGAGGATGAGGCACTTGAGTTCTGCAAGTTCTGTGGTGGAGACAGATACAAACCTGTTCGTCAAGGTAAAAAGAAACCACGACATAGTTCTGCACTGTCTAAACTGTATTACCTCCCAATAGCTCCTCGACTGCAGAGGATGTACGCTTCGACTGCTACTGCGAAACACATGACATGGCATGTTGAGCACGAAACCAACGAGGGTATGATGGCTCACCCTTCGGACTGTGAAGCCTGGAGACACTTTGACCGCTGTCATCCTCAGTTTGCTATGGAGCCACGAAATGTGCGGCTGGGATTGTGCTCAAATGGATTTGCTCCTTTTGGCAGGTTTGGCAAGAACTATTCATGTTGGCCGGTCATGTTAAATCCTTACAATCTCCCTCCCGACATGTGCATGAAAAGTCATTTCATATTTTTGTCTTTAATTTGTCCGGGTTCCAAGGATCCTAGGCGAAAGATGGACATTTATCTCCAACCCCTTATCGAGGAGATGAAAGAACTGTGGGCCGTTGGGACACCAACTTATGATGTTTCATCAGATAAAATGTTTATCATGAAAGCTGCCATCATTTGGACCATTAGCGACTTCCCTGCCTATGGCATGCTTTCGGGATGGAGCACACACAGTTTGATGGGATGTCCGATATGCATGGAGAAATCAGGTGCCAACTGGCTTAGTTACAGCAAAAAAGGAAGTTACTTTGATTGTCACCGCAAGTTTCTCCCGGAAAGGCACCGATATCGAAAGGACAAGAAGTCTTTCATTAGAGGCAGAGCGGTACGAGAGAGCCCACCCCCGAGATTGACCGGTGAAGAAATTTATAACCGGGTTCGACGTTTTCCTACGGCTATGGAAGAGCCAAACCAAGAGCCATATGGGTATTGTGATACCCATAAGTGGACAAAGAGGAGCATATTCTGGGAGTTGCCTTATTGGAAAGACCTTCTCATCCGTCACAATTTAGATGTCATGCACACTGAGAAGAACGTCTTTGACAATATATTTAACACGGTGATGGATTTGAAAGGCAAAACTAAAGACGGTCTTGCAGCTAGGAAAGATATGACTATTTGGTGTGATAGACCCGAACTTTCTGTTGATCTAGAATATCAGGGCAAGGAAGTTCCAAAAGCAGTCTACCAGGTCACAGAACCACAAAAGGCAGCAATATTACAATGGCTTGCGTCTCAGAAGTTTCCAGATGGCTACTGCTCCAACTTGTCTAGATGCGTAGACATGAACAAACTTACCACGACGACGAGCATGAAAACTCACGATGCTCATGTAATAATGCAAAGACTTCTACCAATTGCACTAAAAGAGATGCTTCCTGAACACGTATGGTCCTGCATTACTGAAATCAGTTTGTTGTTTCAATCGATATGTTCCAGCGTTTTGGATGCGGCATCCCTCCGGAGACTACAAGAGTCTGTTCCCATTCTGATGTGTAATCTAGAAAAAATAATGCCTCCATCGTTTTTCGATACAATGGAACATCTTATAATACATCTTCCGTATGAGGCTTTGACTGCTGGGCCCGTCTTCTATCGCTGGATGTACAGATTTGAAAGGTTAGTAACAATTTCATTTAAAAAAAGAATATTTATTTCACAACAACTGTTAACATGTGTACCGTTGTTATATTGCATTATTGCAGATTTCTAGGAGAGCTGAAAAAGAAAGTGACCAACAAGGCACACGTTGAGGCTTCAATTTGTCAAGCGTATCTTCAACAAGAAATCTCAACGTTCTCGTCTTTTTACTTCGAGCGTGACGTCATCACCAGAAGGAAGAGACCTGCCCGGAACGATGACATTGGCGAGGATTTATATGAAAATGTAGTTTCCATCTTCAATTACCCAGGCAGAGGTAAAGGTGCTGCGACACAACGATACATCCTGGGTGGGGAATTGCAAATTGCACATACTTATATCCTCATGAATTGTCCAGAATTCTCACCGTTTTATCAGTAAGTTAAATTTGTAGTTATAATTGTAATACTTATCAATTAAATTTGTAGTTAATTTATAATTTTTTTATTTTTGAATTCACAGTGAATTCAGAGCTTCTTTATCAGCCTTTCCTGAGAATCAAATTGATGCATTGGTAGACTCTGATTTTGTAAATTGGTACAAGTATCAGGTATATATATACACACACATTAATTATATATATATATATTATTACGTAAGATTTTTCAATATTTACCTAATGTTATTATCATGTTTATATTTACAGATCAATAGTCGTGGGATTGTCGACCCTTTGTTAGTATCATTAGCGTGGGGCCCTAGTGCCAATGCCAAAGTGTGGCGGCAATATGTGATAAACGGTTACACATATCACACAGCCGATTACGGAGAGGGCCGACCAACAACGAACAGCGGGTTATGTGTCCCGACCATCGGTTATGATAACTCAGAAACCAATTTTTTTGGTGTCTTGCAGGAGATTCTGGAACTTGAGATGCCTTCTGGTGCGAACAAATTGACATGCGTTCTGTTCCGTTGCACATGGGTCGACCCCACACGTGGCGTGCGCAAAAATCCGAAGTATAATATGATTGACGTCAACCACTCTCGTGTGTACCTGAAAAATGAGCCTTTCATACTCGCCCAACAAGCAGCGCAGATTTATTATGCAGAATATCCTTCAACAAGGCGGACACAGAATCCTTGGGTGTGTGCATGTCCTGTCCGTCCGAACAAAATAAAATCACAAACTCAACACAAGGACGTTGATCTAGATGCTTTTCAGCAACAATTTTTCCAACCTCCGCCTATTGTTGAGACGGTCAACTATGACATCCAATTAAGTGATCCAAATGGCGGACGTGTTGAAGTCATGCCAGAAACGCACCTTCCGGACCCAACCATTCCATCTGAGCGCGAAATTGAGGAAATGTATGTAGCACAACAAAACGCTAGGAAAAAGGTGAATGGATAGACGGTTCAGATACAGAAGAAGATACTGTATATGTAGAAAATGACGATTCTGATAGCGAATAATTGTGCTGTTGTAATTTCAATTTTATTGACTTCTAATATTTGTGCAGATTTCTTCATTATTATATTACTCCATGATAACCGCTTTCGCGGCGTTGTAGTAAAACGGAGTCTAACCTTTCGGTTTTTCCCCGAGTATCGTGTCTCTCGAGGAATGGCGGAGGAGCTTCTTGATTTCAAGTCCAGTCACAGGTTATCGCAAATTATTGGAAGCTTTCTAAATTAAAACTTTTGATTGATTTTCTAAACTACTTTTTGGAAAAGAAAGTAAACTAAATTGTGCAAATACTAATGATGGCTCAAAAATAGACTAAAGGAAAAGATATAATATTAAACTTAAATGGATTGATGCAAATAAGGGCAATGAATTGAGTAATTAGAAATGGATATATTCTTGGACCTAATAATTAGGGAAATTAAAACTAAAATTGGACTAATAATTTCTTTCCTCATAGACAAGAATAGAAACTATTTTCATTAATTTATCCTATTTCTAGGTGTCATTAATGTGTTCAAAAATGGTTGGCTTGAATTAAATTCTAACCTCATAGACAAGGTAGAAATAATTCTCCAATATTTTAATTAATAAAAATAGCCAAATTCATTAACTAGTTAAACTCATTATTTAAGCAATTGAATTTATCTCTCATAGACAAGATGTAAATCCCTTTCATTAAATTATCCTATTTCTAGGCCTTATTAATGTGCTCGAATATGGTTGGCTTAAATTATTTTCTAATCTCATAGACAAGTTAGAGATAATTTTCCAAGAATTTAATTAATGAATATGGCTAACAATTATTAATTACTATTTCATCATTTCAAACAACTAGTCCCTATTATTAATTTTAATCCCTAATTTTTTTGGTCAACAAGTCAATCCATATTCCTTTAGTCAACTCATGCCCAAAACAAATTTAGCTAATAAAGATCATTTTAACAACTAACAATATAATGAATATAATCAACATTAACAAGGAATTAAACATGGATGATAGCAAAACTTATATTCTAGAACAATAAACTTGTAGAAACTGAAGTATAACTTTCTAGAATTTTTCACGAATTTTTAAACCTAAAATCCAATTTTAACAACTAATTGATAATTTTCCCAATTTTAACTAGAAAATGCAAAAAGCAACTAAAATTATTCTAAATTCGTTCTAAATTTTATATTGACTACTGGGAGTGATATTACTGTGAATTAAACTGGAATTAGGACAGAAACTAATTTTTTGCCCTTTTTTGAGTATTTAATTTAATTTATGCAATAATAACAACTAAATGCCGGAATTAATTAAAATTTACTTCTACTTCGTAAAAATTAACTTTCTTTTGATAAATAACTACCTTGAGTCTAGTAAACAACTATATAATTAATTGGAATGGATTTAATCTCAACAACTATTTTATTCAAATCTAAGAAGAAAATGCGAAATAGTGGAATAATTTTCTGGAAATTTTCGAAGCACAGATAGAAAAAACTAACTACAGATTCAGATTCTACTCATTGAAAGGATGAAAATACATATAAAGAACTCACAATTTGGAGCTAAAATGAGAAAGATATGAAAGATTGAAGTTGAAGGTGCAACAATGGTGGAAATCCGAGCCTTGAGGAGGAAGAAGACGCCCTTTTTGATCTGATTTGGGCTTGAAATTGGTATGTTTGAGATGGCGAAAAAGCCTACTATTTATAGCAGAAATTTCACCGAAGGCGCCCAAGCAGGCGGCCGCCTTCCGGCAGCATCTGGCCGCCTGCCGTCAAGTCGCCGGCAACACGTCGTGGCCGGTCTCCGTCAGCCGTAGGCGGCCACAGAGGGCGGCCGCCTTCCATCAAAACTGGCCGCCTACCGTCTTTTCGTTGGCAAATCGGATCGCGGCGGATCCCGGCGGATCCCGGCCGCCGCAGGCGATCCAGCAGGCGGCCGCCTGCCGTTCCTGTCTGGCCGCCTGCCGTCAAATCCCACCGGCCGGCGGTTGCTTCGTCGTCTTCTGCCGCAGGCGGTCACCGTAGGCGGCCGCCTTCTGTCCAGTGTCGGCGGCCTACGGTCTTTTCCAAATTCGGTCAAAGTCAAAGTTTGACTTTCCAAAAAAACCGTAGGCGGCCGCGAAGGCCTCCATTTTGGCCGCCTGTTCGGCCGCCTGTGAGATTATTTGTCCGGCTTTTTCCTTGTTTCGCGCTCTTCAATATTGTCTTCTGGACTACTTTGAAATAATGTTTCCTTCTTTCGGTATGATATCATTTGTTGCCCAAATTGGCTCATTTTGTGCTCAATTGACCCGAAATCCCGCTAAACATAATATGGATGTGATTTTTACCTGATTTCATGAAACTTGAACCAAAATATATAAAATGTGTCTTTTCTTTCTATTTTCATTCAAAAATCGCTTAATTTTGATAAGAAAAATAAGTACAAAAATGGACTTATCAATCTCCTCACACTTAAGCGTCGCTTGTCCTCAAGCGACAAATTAGTTGCAACCACACTCAAAAGATGTAAAACTTGACTTTATCACAATCGAATTGCTATTAAAGAAGGAGAAACAAAATCTCTCTTTTATTCTCAATTTTTAAATATTTTAGAAAAAATCACCCAGAATATAAGAATTTAAAATTAGTATTACTTTTGAAAAAACTATGGATTATGTTAAACCACCAATCAATTCCTTATCCCAAGGTTTTCATTATTCTAAATTGGACATACATCTTGTTCACCAGTTTTTTTTTTTTTGTGTGTCTCCTTTCCACTTTTGTTGGCGGTGTTATCCCATGCATACTTCATTCTCATAGACTATGATTAACGAATGAAGCAGAGCCCCTTTTTGGAGATAGAATTGTCCTATAACAATGAGTTTTGGAGTTTTATTAATACTAACATTTTTGTTTTAATGACTAAAATGAATGTCCAATTAAAACAAATTCAGCCCTTTACATTCACAACCAAAAACCCATAACAAATTCAAGTTTTCTAAAAATAATAATAAAAGTAAATTCTTATAATAGGAGTGATTATCTAAGCTATTTATGCGATTGGTAACAAATTGAGAAATTAATGTTTAATGTCAAAAATAGTAAAAAGATTATTCTAAAATAAGTTTTTAACTTTTGAGTGTAAAACACAACCTCCTCACACTTGAGCTAGACCTCGCCCTCGAGGTCTTTTTTTTTTAAGGCACAAAACCTTGAAATAAAGACATTTTTTTTTTGGTTCTTTCCTCACACTTGAGTTTTGAAAAGATTTTGTGAAGAGGAATAATGAAACAGGAATAAAAAAATCTTTACATCATTCATAGTCAGTTTGTAAGAGCATTTAAGTCAAAAGAGCAGCACAATGTCCAACCTGAATAAACAAACAAACACAATAAAATGTTAAGGAAGAAAACTAAGCATCACTCGTGTCCTCCCGTAAGGCCTAAGCCAATCTCTTATCTCATCAACATTGAAGCACACCCTGCAAACACACAAAACAAACAAACAATGTTATGAAAAACATGGGTTGCCTCCCAAGAAGCGCTTCTTTAACGTCACTAGCTTGACGTTTGAGAGAGAACTCTCAGCTATGCATGTCAGTTGTGGAGCACTCATCATTAGTGCCTCCACCTTATCCTCCAGGTATGCCGTCAGATGGCGTAGACCCTTGAACTCTTGTGACCACCAAAATGTGATATAATCTTCAAAGAACACATCGTTCGAACAAGGAATTAGCACATATCCTGCATCACTCTCATTAGTATAATCAACAAGTATTTCAGGATCAGGTGCCTCTGGTGTCTCTTCAATATTGTCTTCTGGACTACTTTGAAATAATGTTTCCTTCTTTCGGTATGATATCATTTGTTGCCCAAATTGGCTCATTTTGTGCTCAATTGACCCGAAATCCCGCTAAACATAATATGGATGTGATTTTTACCTGATTTCATGAAACTTGAACCAAAATATATAAAATGTGTCTTTTCTTTCTATTTTCATTCAAAAATCGCTTAATTTTGATAAGAAAAATAAGTACAAAAATGGACTTATCACTCCAACAATATTTGAATTTTTTTCTATCTTTATCATTATTATTTATGAACAAAAAATTACTCCATATTAATTCAACCACAACAAGTTTTTTATATCCATATTATAAATTCAAAATAAAATTTTTCACAATTCCAAGTTTGAAAATTAAAATTTACCCAATACAAAATATGAAATTACTCTATATTATATCCATGAAAATTCAAAAATTATTTTTAATTTTTCTAAATTCGAAAATTTATTTTAATAATTTTTAATAATTCGAAATTCGAAAATTAATTTTAATAATTCTAAGTCTATACGAAAATTAAAAAAATTCGAAAATTAAAAAAAAAAGTAATTTACTTTTACTAATCTGAATATTATAATAAATTTAGATATTAATAAACAACTAACACAGATTTATTTATCAAATTTCAAAGATAAATACAAAACACACAATGAAATTGTCACATATTATTTATCAAACAACTAACATAGATTTATTTATCACATTAACCTAACTAACATTAATCATTCCTCAATCAGAAACTTTCAAGAGGCCTAGCCCACAACTCCTGAATTTTCATTCGAGCTTCTTCGTTGATCGGGTCCATATACTCCGAAACTTCTTGTGCACGTTGAAGCATCCGACACAAATTTCTTGCTTTTGACTTGCCCAATGAGTCGGATTCTTCATCTTTATAATCGCCAAAACTTTCAAGGGGTCTAGACATCAACTCCTTGATTCTCTCGTATGCTTCCACGGTTTTCGGCTCCATAAGCTGTGTAATCAGCTTAAGTCGTTTCATACCTCTACACATCGAATCCCAGTCAATTGGACCTCTATTAGCCATTTTTTTACAGTCCAGTCTTGGGCCGGAGAAAGATGATTTATACTAAAAAATTTCAAGTTGTCACGGTCTTAGGTCACGGATAATTCCGTGACTAACCTGTCAGTCTTGCAACCGGAGAGGTGTCAGGGCCGCCGGTCTAGTCACGGTTTTACCCGTGACTAGAACCGTGACCAAATTCAAAATTTGAATTAGACACGGTCTTAGTCACGGATAAAACCGTGACTAAACCGGTCAAAGGCGGCTGATGCCGCGTGGCTGATTTCGTTGATTACGA